TGGAGGTGTGCCCTGGTCTGCTGGCCGTGGCTTTGCGTGAGGCAGGAGGGTGGGTGTGCCTTGGAGAGAGCCGAGATGACAATTGTGGCCTTTAGACAGGAGGTACCAGTCAGTGCCTGTATCTTCCTCTAGGGCTGAGCCTGGGCCTTCCCTCATTGCAGGCCTGCAGGGCCCCTGACTCACTGCAAGACAGAGGTCCCAGGTCCATAGCTCCCTAAAACCAATGCATCTGACCACTCTCATGGTGATGGGGCAGGGGATTGGGGTGCTTCCACTGCCAGGGTAGTCACTAGCCCAAATGGGACAGTACCTGTGGCAAGAAGAACATGGGTTTGGAACCTAAAGATTTGGGTTCAGCCTGGCCAGTATGGCTCAGTGGTTGTGTCGACCTATGAACTAGGAGGTCACGGTTCAATTCCCAGTTAGGGCATATGCCCGGGTTGCAGGCTCGATCCCTAGTGTGGGGAGGCAGCCGATCAATGATTCTCTCTCATCATTGATGTTTCTGTCTCTCTCTCCCTCTCCCTTCTTCATTCTGTGCCCCAGAGTCATTTTTCTTTGAAATTGATAAAAATATACTATATTAAACAACAACAATATACTTAAAAAAACAATAAAGATTTGGGTTCAAATCTCAGCTCTGGCACTTCTCAGTTGTGTGGGCTGATGAGCAAGCCCCCAGTTCTTGGTGCGGTGGGTGGGTGGAGTGGCAGTACTTGTTGAGCCAAACACTAGGGTTATCCTGGTGCTTTCCCAACAAGTTGCTACATTGTGGTCAGTTACTGTGTTGCATGTGGCAAGTCCCCATGCTCCACCCGAGGATCCAGGAAGGGAGGGAAGGGAGGACTACTGTGCCTGGTGTGGATATGGATCATGAGTCAGGGGAAGCTGGTGGACATGCTTGGGCACATCAGGCTCAGTCTGAGCCAAACCTGGAAGGATGGTTGTCACTTTGGTCCTCACAGCTGAGCTGGCTATTCTTCATCTATGGCCTTCAATACACCTGGGGAGCAGCCTCCACCAGGAGCCATAGGGCCTTCTGCACCGAAGCCTGAGGAGAGGCCTTGCCTAAAATAACCTTATCAGCCTGCCTCTAGATGAGGGAATGGGCATCAGTGGGGAAATGGGCATTGCTGTGCTCCAGAGTCATTTCTTGAGGTCAAAAGATTTGCATACCCACCAGCAATAATAAAGCCCTTCCCACTCCTGGGTATGAGGAGTGTAGAAGTTGGGTTAATGCCCGGAGCATCACCATGTCCCCTGACCCAGGCAGTCCCAGTGTCTCTGGGGAATTGGGAAGGTGAGAACAGAGCCTGGCTCCAGGTCCAGGCCGTGGGGCCTTTAAAATCAGCCCTGAGCAGTTCTCATGATAGTTTTCTTGTGACTTGTTGGGGAGACACCTGGAGGGGAGCAGCAGGGTTTTGGGCCCTGCACCCAGAGCCATTCGGCTGTGGCCTGTCTTCCACTAAAGGCCTTTGGGGTGGGGGGGAATCTTCATTTAACCAGAGGGTTCCTGGCTGAGGATATGATGGGTTAAGATACGTAAGGCTTGGGATGGATGCTGTGATTATGAGTAGCAACTTGCCCTTCAGCCCACTGGTTCAGATGCAGGGCTGAGTTTAGGCTCCAAGGTCTGGTCAGCTCCACCTTTTCAGTCATGCTCTCTTCCTCCCTTGCTGACCCTTATCATGCATCTGTTCTCACCCCGACGCCTTTGCTTAGAGCCTGCCCACAACTCTTCAACCTTCGCTTCTCCTACCCATGCCACTTGAGAGGGGCAGGGTGTCATTAAGCATGTTTACATGGGCCTGCTGCTTGGACACTAAGGAGGCAGCAGAGGCTGGGAAGGTTACTGGGAGGGGCTGCCTTGGGGAGTAGACCTGCCTGCCAGCCTCAGCTTGTCTGCCCTGTGTGGGTCCTGGGCTTGCCTGGGCCCTGTGGGCTCCATTTCTGTTCCTTACCTAGCAGGCAGGTAGGCCCCTGCAGCACACATCCTCCTGTTCTACCTGCATTCATACCTTTACCTTTACTTCTCCCTCCTGGAATGATCTCCTTCATTCTCTCCCCTGTATAAAACCTTGGTACACATTAGAGGTCTCACTTCTCTCATCATTTCTATTCAGCATTGTATTGGAGTTCCTGGTCAGTGCAGTAAGTCAGGAAAAAGAAATAAAAGGCATGCAGAGTGGAAAGGAAGAAATAAAACTGCCTTTATTCTCAGACAGTATATTAAAATATTCTGAAGAATCTTCATAAAAGCTACCAGAACTAATTGGTGAGTTCAAAAGTTTGCAGGACATCAGGTGAATATATCAAATATTAAATATGTGTATGTGTTTAATAGTGTTATTGAGATAAAATTTACATACCATAAAGTGCATCCATTTAAAGTGTACCATTCAATGGTTTTTAGCATGTTTACAGAGTTGTACAAATGATCATAATCTAATTTTAGAACATGTTTATTATTCTAGAAAGAAACCTTGACCCCATTTCCCCAGCCCCAAAAATATTTTGTTATAATAGCAAGAAACAATTGGAAACTAAATTGAAGTATTTAGAGATAAATTTATCAAAACATTGTTGAAAGCCCTATCCGGTTTGGCTCGGTGGATAGAGCATCGGCCTACGGACTGAAGAGTCCCAGGTTCGATTCCGGTCAAGAGCACATGCCGGGGCTCAATCCCCAGTGGGGGGTGTGCAGGAGGCAGCCAATCAGTGGTTCTCTCTCATCATTGATGTTTCTATCTCTCTCTCCCTCTTCCTTCCTCTCTGAAATCAATAAAAATATATTTTAAAAAAATACATTGTTGAGAGCCCTGGCCGGTTTGGCTCAGTGGATAGAGCATTGGCCTTCGGACTGAAGGGTCCCAGGTTTAATTCCGGTCAAGGGCATGTTCCTTGGTTGCGGGCATATCCCCAGTAGGAGGTGTTCAGGAGGCAGCTGATCAGTGTTTCTCTCTCATTGATGTTTCTAACTCTCTATACCTCTCCCTTCTTCTCTGTAAAAAATCAATAAAATATATATTTAAAAAAAAACATTGTTGAGAGAAATTAAAGAAGACCTAAACAAGTGGAGAGATGTGCCATATTCTTGGGTTGGAATAATCAATATTATTAAACTATCTATTCTCCAGATTGACCTATAGATTCAACACAGTTCCAGTCAAAATCCCAGTAGAAATTTGAGACATTGTTCAGAAAATGAAAAGATAAGCCATAGACTGGGAAAAAATATTTACAAAACACACAAAAGAATTTATATCCAAGATATATTTAGAACTCTTACAGCAATAAGGTACACAACCCAATTTTAAAAAAAGGTTAGCCCACCTGGTGTGGCTCAGTGGTTGAGCATCGATCCAGGAACCAACACTAGTTTGATTCCCAGTCGTGCATGCCCAGGTTGTGGGCTCGATCCCCAGTAAGGGGTGTGCAGGAGATAACCGATGGATGATATTTCTCTCTCATTGATGTTTCTATCTTTCTTCCTCTCTAAAAAATCAATGAAGACATATGATTTATTTATTTATTTTTAATATATTTTTATTGATTTCAGAGAGGAAGGGAGAGTGGGAGAGAGAGAGAAACATCAATGATGAGAGAGAATTATCGGTTGGCTGCCTCCTGCAGGACTCCTACTGGGAATCGAGCCTGCAACCTGGGCATGTGCCCTTGACTGGAATTGAACCTGGGACCCTTCGTCAGCAGGCCAACACTCTATCCACTAAGCCAAACCAGTAAGGGGAAAACATAATTTTTAAAAAGTTAAACATTTAAACAGACAGTTCAATAATTTTCTAATAAACCAAAAGTAAATAAGTATATCAAAAAATGCTTAACATCCTTGGTCATTGGGAAAATGCAAATTAAAGCCAAAATGGTGTTAAAAACCTATTAAATTGGCTAAAAGTAAACAAAGACAACTGACAATATCAAGTGCTGATGAAAATGTGGAACTCATTTACATTGCTTGTGGGAAAGCAAACCAGTATAGCCACTTTGGAAAACAGTTTGGCAGTTTGTTATCAAGTTAAACATGTACTTATCTTATAACCCAGCAGTAGCCACTTCTGGGTATTTACCCAAGAGAAATAAAAACATATGTCTGTATGTAAATATGTATTGGTTTTATTCATAATAGCCAAAATTGGAAATGACTCAGATGTCATCAACTAGTGAATGGATAGACAAACTGGTATATCCATATAGTGGCGTACTACTCAGCAGTAAAGAGAAACAAAATACTGGTACACCTAACAATGTAGATGAATCTCAAATGCATTATACTAAATGGAAAAAAAAAAACAGTCACAAGATACTCCATATTCTGTGATTTCATTTCTATTACATCTGGAAAGGCAAGACCATAAGAACAAATCAGGGACTGGGGGTAGGTGGAGGGGGATTGACTGCAAAGAGGTAGGAGGAAACTTTTTGGAGTGATGGAAATGTTCTATATCTTGATAGTGGTCGTGGTAACGTGTCAACATTGTTAAAATCTGTTAAAACTTACTTGAACTGTCAGTTAAAATGGGAGAATCTCATTACATGTAAATTATATTTCAATTAAAAAATACTTTTTTCATCACTTCTTGGCCTTTTGGCTAAGGTCAAGTATAAAAAAAATAACCCACCATGATACACCACAGAGCTCATTTCAAGCGCCCTCTCCTTGAGAATTTCCCTGACCCATCTTCTTGTTGCACGGACTTCTAGTAAGTCCCTTCCAGGTCACTCATGTGGTTCCTGCTAACCACAGCTTGGGCTGCTTCTTCAGTAGGGCTGCCTCAGCTCCCCAGGGGTAGTGAGCTGCTGGACTCACTGCTCATTTGGCACAGCCAGACCCTGTCCACAGCCGCTCTGTGAAAGGCCAAGAATGCTGACTGAGGCGGTGGTGGCAGGCTGGGGAGAGGAGTTCGGACCTGGGTGAGCTGCTGTGGCTGTCTTGCTTCTCTCAAGTACCTCTACTCAGCTGTGACTGCTCTCTTCTCCCACAGGTTGGGATAAACATTCCTACGGTTACCATGGAGATGATGGGCATTCCTTCTGCTCCTCGGGGACTGGTCAGCCCTATGGTCCCACATTCACCACAGGAGACGTGATTGGCTGCTGTGTCAACCTCATCAACAGCACCTGCTTCTACACCAAGAATGGCCACAGCCTTGGTGGGTACATAGGGGACTTGGGAAGGTTTGCTCTGTGGAGCCACTTTGGTTGGTGAGAGGCCCAAGGCAAGCTTTGAAGCCAAAGCAGTGTTACAGATCCTCTGCTGAGCTCTGGGGAACTGCAGCCATTTCCAGGCACTGGAGCCTGCAAGGTGAAGGGAGGGTAGCATGGGCATTCTCTTTGTTAATCCATCCATTTAGGATCATCTCTCAAGCCCAGGTTCAGGGCTGAGAGAGCAGCATTGTCGTGGTCATGCTCCTGGCCTGTGTGATATTTGTTGGAGCAGGGTTTGGGGTTGGTGAGAAGTTTGAGGGTCCCAAATACATACTTGATTGGTAATGGTTTGCATGCCCCTGGCCTGGGCCCAGACTTTGGACTGCCCTTCTGGCACTCAGGGCGATGTTTGCTGTGGGGCAATATTGAGGGCTGTTCTGGGTCGGGAGGTAAACAGACAGGCTGGAGTCAGATGGGGCCAGGTCTCTTGCAGCCTGGACAAATTTAAAAAGGTCCTTTTCGCCCTAGCTGCTTTGGCTCAGTGGATAGAGTGTCGGCCTGCGAACTGAAGGTTCCCAGGTTCGATTCCGGTCAAGGGCATATGACCTGGTTGCGGGCTCAATTCCCCCAGTAGGGAGCATGCAGGAGGCAGCCGATCAATGATTCTCTCACTATTGATGTTTCTATCTCTCTCTCCCTGTCCTTTCCTCTCGAAATCAATAAAAATATATTTAAAAAATAAATAAATAAAAAGGTCCCTTTGGTGAAACTGAGAAGGATGGACTGATGAGCCTAAGGGCTAACAGAAGAGGCAGGTAGCCTGAGGTAAGGCAGTGGTGATGAGTGCAGGAAGTGGGAACAGGGGTGGCCCCGGCAGGTCTTAGTGACAGATGGGTGCCTTAGCAAGAAGGGCAGATGGGAAAGTGGCTGGATTTGTGGTGTTATTAACTGGGATTAGGAACCCAGGAGGAGCAGCAATCCGTGGAGGGTGATGGGGCCCTGGAGGGTCCCTTGGAAGAGCAATCTTGTACACGTGTAGAAATTTAGGGTTAGAACTTGAGAGAGAGGGAAGCTGGCTATCCTGATGACTTGCCCGAGGACTGACTGGTATTTGGCCCTGAGAGGAGCCCTTGGCCAGAGTAGAACTGCGGTGGTGCCTGACGTCTGGGCCTTCCTGCCTGGGTTTGCAGAGATCTCTGATTGGCAGAACCATACCAGCCACAGGCCTTGCCAGGAAAAAAGTTGGGTGTTTTACTTGGAACTCAACTCCTAGGAGAACCACTTCCCTTGGCTTACGGGGCAGTTTAAAAGGGGGTTGCCACTCCCCACAGCCCTTCTGTGGCTTTTCCAGGAGCTGAGCCCGGGCAGAATCAAGGGACCTGTTGGAAATGGGGTTTGCTGGTGGCTGGGCTGAGTGATCAGGAGCCAGCATTCCTCAACAAGGCAGTCAGATGCCACAGTCCAGAGTGGGCATCGAGAGCATTGCACCGGCACTGCATAGGTGACTCAGGTGCACATCAGAGAACCTCCTCTGAAATTCATGGCCACCTTGCTACAGTTGCTGATATCCTGCTGGTGAGGAGCTAGCAGCTGGAGGAGAAGGCCAAGGTCTCAAGATGGCTCCTCACTCCCCACTTTTGTTCTCTGACTTCAGCTCTTTTCTGGCTCTTGGTTTTTCTGCTGTCACAGTCCCAGGGGTCACTGCTGTGGATTCTCAGTCTTGGGTAAAGAGCACCCTCTGTAGCCAGGCCCAGTCCCTTCTGCTCTGGATTCCTGCCTTCTTTACATTCTTCCAGCTTGTCCACACCTTGGTCCACCTGGCTGTAGGAACCACATTTTGAGGTATACCCTGCTGCCTCCTGTGTATCTGCACCTCCCTCTGGGTCCTAAATGAGTACCAGGGTCCATGAGCTCTTTGTCTGTCAGGTCCCCAGGCCCATAAGGAGTTTAGGGCTACCTTAATGTCAGTCCAAACCCTCACACTGTTTTTAAAGTCATCTTCCTAGTGCATGCTTTGTATAGACCCCATGCAAGACCTCACATAATCTTGTTTTTAGGGATATATTGTCTATTTTTTCAGCCTGTCAAGATCTTCTATGGTCATTTTGTTCTATCTCAAAAATGCTTTTCAGCATTGCATTAACCTAAAATTTGATAAATTTGTTTATGTGTATTTTTATTAAGATATTAAAAAATTGGAAGATAACCAGGGTAAGTCTTGAGCCCTTTAGCCTATAGCTTGTTCGGAGTAGACACCAACCATTCAAGAATCACTTTATGTTATTTTGAAACTCATATTTTTCTATCTTGTCCACAAGGATAGTTAATCCATCCACTGAGACCTTACTAAAGATGATATCACCTGTCCCCTGCATTTTCTAGATGATGAAATTTAATAGAAAGGCAATGAACTTGGAGTGATAAACTACTTGGTGACTCTTCTAATGACCTTGTTTCCTTTTCACAAGCTAGCTTATCAATAAATGTGCTTCAGAATCTCACGCAGGATCAATGAACCAGTCACTGCTCTCTAACCTCAGAACCTTTTCCCCTTTAGAGAAGAATGATGTTTCCTGGCCTCCCCCTTTATTTCATTTATTTTATTGTCCTCTATCACAGCACTCTCCCTTTATGGCATTGATCAGTTGTCTGTGTAATTATTAGTTGCATGCCATCTCTCTTGCAGAACTTTTAGGGCCAGGCTTTTAGCTGGTTTCTTAGTGCCTGTCAGAAGGCCGAGCTCCTGGGTGGTCTCAGCAGATACTTGATAGATGGGTGAATGAGCAGGCGAATGGAGACAGGAGACTGATGGCTCATCCACAAGTAGTTGGTGTACTAGTACTTGCAGAGTCATTTTTATCCAGCTCTGTGCTCTCCCATCGGTTTTGTTGTTTTTTTAATTAAAATATACTTGTATTGATTTCAGAGAGGAAGGGAAAGGGAGAGAGAGAGATAGAAACATCAGTGATGAGAAAGAATCACCTATTGGCTGCTTCCTGCACAGCTCCCCACTACCCCCCAGCTAGCCAATGCATATCACATGCTTCCTGTGATATGCACACCAGCTGGGCTTTCACAGGTTCTTTATACCCTGGGGATCCACACCAGCTGGGCTTTCACAGGTTCTTTATACCCTCAGTCTCATTGAACCCTGACCTATGTCTGTTTGTCTCAAGGCACTTCTCATCAAAAAATTAGAGTATCTTGTTTGTATCCTGGACCTTTTCTTGGACCTTCTTCCTGTGGGCCAGCCCAGATGTTTTCATCACAGTGGCCTTGCAGAGGCTCCCAGAGATCTTTTCCAGTGTAATAGGGGGTGGAGTTGCCTCTGTCCTCATCCTCTTGGAAGCACTTCAAGGTCTTGTCCTTCCTGAGTGCCATAGACAGAGCTGGGTAAGCCTGGGTAGGCCATTCTTTGCCCAGAAGTGTGGCAGTTGCCTCACCTGGTGACACAACTGCGGTCAAATTGTACACAGACCTCATAGTTCATGAAGCAGCTTTTCTTCAGATAGACAGGTGTTTTTTTCTCTCTTGTTAATCCTCACCCTAGGATATTTTCCCATTGATTTTTAGAGAGAGTGGAAGAAAGAGGGAAAAACAGAGAAATATTGATGTGAGAGAAATACATCGATTGGTTGCCTCCTCCACGCACTCCGACCAGGAGAGGAGCCTGAAAATGAGGTACATATCTGGGACCCTTCAGTCTGCCCACTTATGTTTTATCCACTGAGCCAAACTGGCTAGGGCCAGATGAGCAGCTTTCACAAAGTATCTCAGTTTCTCTCTTGAGGTGTCAGAATTAGTGTTACCCTCTTTTTTTCAGTTTGTCAAAGGTCACACTACAGATAACTGATGGAGCCTGAACTTCCCCTTCTTCCAGCGTTCTGTGGGCCTCCTCCAGGAGCAGGGGGTACAGCAACAGCAGCCTGGCCATACTGAGAACCATGCGGGCAGCTCCCATGCAGACCTGGGAGGTGGATGTTGAGGTCTCCTGGGTTCAGAGGAGCTCCTAGATTTCGTTCTGCCAGCTTTGTGGCTGCTCACTCTGCCTGTGGGGCTCAGAAGTGGCCTCAGGTAGGCAGATCATGGAGTTTATGAGCTTCATTCACTGCAGAGCAAAGTAGACCCACAAATGAATGTAAACAATCTCTCTACACTTTGACTTTTTCATCTGTAAACTAGTGTCGGAGAGAATGTACACTTTCCAAGATTGTTCTGAGGAGTAAATGGTTTAGAGAGAGAGGAAAGGAAAGGGAAAGAAACATCGATGTGAGAGCGAAGCATCAATTGGCTGCCTTCGGCATGCCCCGTACTGGGGATCAAGCCTACAACCCAGGCATGCGCCCTGACCCGGAATTGAACCAGTAACCTTTCGGTCCACAGGATGATGCCCAACCAACTGAGCTACACCGGCCAGGCCTAAATGGTTTATTGTTAAACACTGAGCCCAGTGCCCAGCACAGAGGAAGCATGTGATATGCATTGGCTAGCTGGCAGTATTCTGGCTCCAGGTTTACTGGGAGACCTATGGTTAGAACCTTTCGGGGTTTCAGTTTCTTTTCTGGGTGCTGTTGGGAAAGCAGACTAGGACTTCTAAGGAGTCAGGGGGTTGAAAACCTTTCAGGGCAAGAGCTCAGGAGTTTCTAAAAAGTAGTAAGAATTTATCTAAAATTTAAAAAAATGGGAAGGTTATGAGTCCTCAGGACAGTCTCCTTTGGCTCTGTCGCTTTTCAATCTGTAGAACACGAGTGCTCTGGTGGATATTCTGAGGCCTCTCCTGCTCAGGCCTGCTCATATATTTGGGGTCCCGTTCTCCTCCACCCTCACTTCTGGTTCAGGCTGAGTCCCTGGAAACACAACCTCTTCTCTTGACAGGAGGGTTCAGAGGGTACACAGGCCAGTGTTAAGCTGGGCTTTGTCGCCTTGGGAAGCTCTGGGGACTCTGGATGGGTATGGGCTGGAAATGGGCAGCCACCACCCTCACTGTCTCCAGTGCTGTCAGCTTAGAGATGATTTTGGAGTGTCAGACTAGCACTGAGTTCAGCCCTACCATTTCTGCTAATTTTATGACTTGGTTTAGCCTCTGAGGTTTTCTTTCCTCATTTGAAAAATAAGGATAAGAAAGTCTGCTTCCCAGGGTTGGTATGAGGGTCAGATGAGTTAATGAATGGAAAAAGGGCCTGGCATTACAGTAGGTTTCCATCAATATGTGTTGGGTCAAGAGAAGGATCAGGCCTGGAAAGGCCTCAGCGGTAGATCATTTGGGTTTTAGTCTTTTCTAGTGGGCTTTTCCCGAGAGAATGGAAGCACTGTAGACAAATATTTTTTAATGTTTTTATTGATTTTGGAAAGAGGAAGGAGGGGAGGGAGGGAGAGAGAGGCTTACAGAGAGGAAGGGAGAGAGATAGAGAGTCAGAAACATCGATGAGAGAGAAACACCGATCAGCTGCCTCCAGCACACCTCCCACGGGAGATGTGCCCGCAACCCAGGTACATGCCCTTGACCAGAATCAAACCCCGGACCCCTCAGTCTGCAGGCCGACGCTCCATCCACTGAGCCAAACCGGCTTCGGCAAGGGCCAAATATTTAAGTATCGATTTGACGTCTCTTCTGGCCGGGCCATCCAGCAAAGGGAAGGCCAGGGACTAAAACTCTCAGGCCCTAGCATGTGCTTGGCCTCCATCATAGGGTAGATGTGGTGACCAGCCCCCTCCCCAGCTATGGTGATGGACCGCCTGAGAGCTCATGACTGTTTCTTTCCCTCCACAGGTATAGCCTTCACAGATCTCCCGGTGAGTATTACCATTGGTTCGTCCCTCTTTGGGCTTTTGGGGGCTTAATTATGGTGGTACCAGGAAGTGAAGGGTGTGAAGTCTCCCCTTTCCCCACCCAGGGATATGGACTGTGTTGTCTACTTGAGGGTACTAGTAGGAGGTACCTGCTTGCCTTTCTCCAGTAGCGAGGGCTGGTCTTCCTCCATGACTCTTACCAGGTGCAGTGATTTGTGGCATTTCCAAAGACAGCTGGGGATTGGGGGAAGATGAGGGTGGCCCCATGGCTCAGATGGTCTGAGCCAGTTCTGTGACTTACAGCCAATGGATTGGGGTGCAGAGTGTAGAGAATTATTCCTGAACTGTTAGGTCCCTGTGAATTCCCATCAGAGATCCCTGAGGAAAGCCAGTGCCCTAGGGAACTTGAACCTGCTACCTTGCATCAGCCAGGGAGGTGAGCTTTGTGGGGTTTTCTCTTCTTGGAAAAGGGTGAGGTTTCCTGTTGGCTCAGTTCAGGGCTCATCCTCACCTCCTGCAACCCTTTATTAATTGTCATCATGGGCCTCATCCTGTGCAGACTTCCACCCAGATGCTGGGAGCCTGGGTGCCCTGCTCTGTTTGCCCTGGCCGTGTTCTGGAAGGAGGAAGGGTTTGCTGACTCCGGTGGCTGCTTTGGGATCCTGGGGCCTTATGATCTGCGAAGCCCAGATGGCAGCACCAGGATCCTGTTAGAACCTCTTGTCTATGGATCAGAATCCTTTCCTGCTGCCTGAAGGCCTCAGAAAGGGGCTGTGGTCCTAGGCAAAGTGAATAGACAGGAGGAGAATCCTGACCAGGGAAGAGTCTAGTTGTGGAGATGTGACATGAAACAGCCAGGCATGAATGTGGTCAGTAGTAGTGGGGCGCCACAGGGGGCACCGAGTGAGGGAGTGGCCAGGCAGAAGCTGGTCATGGCAGGGGATAGATAGAAAGCAGGGAGCCCCACACCCATGGAGGGACATGCCCAAACCTCAGTGGCCTGAAGATCCTCTTTATGAGTCTGACAGGAAGGGCAGTGGCTTCTCTTTGCACTTTGCCAGCGTTAGGGGGTTTAAACTACCTAACTCCTTTCGCCATGCTCTCCTCTTCCTCCCCTCCTTTCCTGCCTCCCCCTGTCTCTTCCTGCCCTCTCATATACCCGTTTTTTGTGGCAAAGGGATCCTTGGTCCTGGCTCTCTCTGAGAAGAGCTGTAACCCATGCCTGCAGCAGATCTTCACAGGCACACACATCTCCAGGGTCATGGAGCCCACCTGCCTTGCTGTGCCCTGGCTGAGTCCCGAAGAGGGGCCTTGGGTTTTGGGCTTTGGGGAACACCATAGCCTCTGATGTAGGGAAGGAGACTCCATGTGGGGCCTGGCTTGCTTTGCTTTTGCTTTTTCCCTCAAGTTTTGGGGACTAGTGTCTGGTAGGGAGGTGGGCAGAATGTGGCTCAGCGCTGCCACCTCCAGCCTTGCTGCAGTTCTCTCACAGCCAGAGCAGCAGCCTGTGGGAGCCAAGCCGTGTGTTCTTGCTCTGCCCCGGAGGCGAGGCAAGGCCTGCCGCCCCACTGCCCTCACGGCCTGACTGACATTTCATTCTCCTCCTCAGGCCAACCTCTACCCCACCGTAGGCCTGCAGACACCTGGGGAGATTGTGGACGCCAACTTTGGGCAGCAGCCCTTCCTGTTTGACATTGAGGACTACATGCGGGAGTGGCGTGCCAAGGTCCAGGGCACTGTCCACTGCTTCCCCATCAGTGCCCGGCTTGGCGAGTGGCAGGCGGTGCTACAGAAGTGAGTGCCCTGCTCCTGCCCTTACCCACCCCTGCCCCATCCCAGGGGCCTCACTGTCCTGTAGGCCCCTGTACTGCTCTTATGAACTCCAGTGGGTAGTTTCCTTCCTGAAAGCTCTCCCAGATGACTCTGCCTGCTGCTGTTCTGCTTCCCTCTTATCTGATGGGTGGCTCTCATTCAGTTCTCCAGATCTCCTGTTAATTAAACCTTTTTCCCCCTGCCCCCCACCTGGATCTCATGGCTCCATATGTAATTTCACCAGCAGGGCTGTTTTGCCTCCCCGGGTGATTTTGCAGAGAATGTCCTAGGATGCCATCTGGTTTCTTCCTCTGTAGATTTATTTTCACCTTAGGGAGTATCTATCATGCCATAATTCTGGCCTGAGGTCACTTTTCAGGGTCAGCATCCAGCTAAGTCCCAGGCATCCATGTCAGTGGTGGCAGGAAGACAGTCTAGCCAGCTCTTGGCTGATTAATCCCCAGGCTGTCCTGGAGACCAGTCTTGCTGAGAATCCCAAGGGAGGTCAGGTTTGGTCTCTCTTCCACTTACCAGTTGCAGGCCTGAGTGAGGCAATGACCAGTACCCACTCTGCCAGGAGGAGGGTTGGCTTGTTAGCTTGGCTCCCAAGGATAGGCAGTGAAGGGCTAGGCTTCCACTAGCCGTGGTCCCTTGGGTTGGATTCTTTGTGTAGTTTTCCTTTCTTGAGGGATTGAAATTGAGCCAAGCCCTAGGGAGAGCTGAGGTAGGGCGAGTGGCCAGACCCTTCTCAGGAAGAGCAGCACTGCTACGTTTTGTTCCCAGCCCCCAGAGCTAATGGGAAGCTCATCCTCGGAGGGCCAGCTCCGTGCCTGTTCCTGCAGCACACTTGCTGGGATGGGCAAAGGGAGAGGTGGAGCTGTCCCAGCTGTGTGGGGGCAGGACTGATACTCTCAGCTTACAGGGCCTGGGCTCAGCACGTGGGTGTGCTTGTTTACATGTGTGTATCTGTGTGCCTGTGTGTGTTCATAGGTAGTGTTTGCCAACACCTGCATATAACTTGTGCTCGTTTATGGGCATTGTTAATGGCTATATTATCTAGGAGACAAATTTTGATACAAGCTCCTTGACTGCCTCCCCTTGGTAGGAGGTTCAGTTTAATTTCTGTGTTTTGCTTGTGTAGATAACCCTTTTATACATTGAGTTTTTCTTAATTAAGATGATTTTTTTGCCTGGTTGGTGTTGCTCAGTGGTTGAGCGTCAACTCTTGAACCAGAAGGTCATGGTTCGATTCCCAGTCAGGGCACATGCCCAGGTTGTGGCTCCATCCCCGGTAGGGGACATGCAGGAGGCAGTGGATCAATGTTTCTCTCTCCTTGCTGTTTTCTATCTCTTCCTCTCCCTTCCTGTCTCTCTCTCAAGTCAATAAAATCATTTTAGAAAAAAGATTATTTTCTTGGTGCCCTTTCAAGTAGTGGAGTTATTGAATCAAAGTGACTGGACATTTTAGTGTCGTCCCAAACATGTGTCATCAAAAAATTTTGCCGGTGTGTTTATAATAAAATATAAGAATTATTACTGCCCAGCTGGCGTGGCTCAGTGGTTGAGCGTCTTCCTATGAACCAGGAGGTCATAGTTCAATTCCCAGTTGGGGCACATGCTTGGGTTGCGGGCTTGATCCTCAGTGTGGGGCGTGCAAGAGGCAGCCAATCAATGATTATCTCTCATCATTGATTTTTCTATCTTTCTCTCCCTCTCTGAAATAAAAAAAAAATTTTTTTAAAAAGAATTATTACTTAGAATATAGCATTAAGATACATAATTTCATAATAAGAGGCTGTATTTATTGACTTCTTACTTTGTGCTGCGCACTTTATGTATATCATCTCATTTACCCCCCCTGAAACACAAGGGGCACACAAACTTCTGTGCCTTCCTCATGACAGCCCTTCAGGCATGTGTCTGGCAACTGGAATAGTGCCCTTTGTCACATGCACAAGCCAAGGTATTCACCTCCTCTACACATCACATGTGAGAGCTCTTCCTTCTTCTCTACATGTGTGTACACGCACACGTGGGATTAAACGGCTGCTGGGCCTTGGGCTTCTCAGGACTATTTTCCAAAGATTGTGCTCCTGTTGGCCATGTTGCCTGTTATCTTGGCTTCCCGGGGCCCTGAATTGTGACCTATGAGGAGTAACTTATTCGTGGGTTAGCTCCTCTTGACCCTTTAGAGCCAGCACCCCTGAGGGCCAAGTTTGCCTGGTGAGCTAGAATGTTCCTGCCCGGCACGTAGGGCAGCCCACAGAGGAGCTCCTGTGTCTGTAGAAGGTATGCACGTGGCGTGCATTCTCCCTGGCTGGGCAGCTGCCGGACCGCTTGGCAGGCTGCCTTTCCAGGAAGCCCTCAGAGACTGTTGACCATCTCTGGACTTGCCGCATTTCACAGCAGGCAGCTGCTGCTCTAAGATGGTGTGTGTGCTTTTGTTACCGTGCTTGCCCACGTGTGGGCAGCATATCCCAGAGAAACTGCAGCCACTCCTCCAAGCGTGAGGACAGACGTGACCCGCCCTAGCCCAGCCGGACTGCATAAGCACTGGGGGAAGTTTTCATTTTTGTTTTAACCCCTTTGTTCTCATTCTGTGGAAGTTGCACCTCTAAGATGTGTTTAGGGACGACCTAACAGGGAAATTGTCTCATCAGGTGGTCAGTGAGAAATGCAGTTCTTTTTTTTTTTTTTTTTTAACATTTTAAAATTACAGTTTACATTCAGTATTATTTTGTATAATTTCCGGTGTCCAGCATAGTGGTTAGGCAGTCTCATACTTTACAATGTGGTGCCCCTGACATTTCAAGCACCCACCTGATACCATACACAGTTAATACAATATTATCAACTATATTCACTCTGCTGTACTTTAACATCCTTGTGATTATTTGGTAACTACGAGAAATGCAATTCTTGAGTGTCACCTGAGCATTTCCTTTCTTCTAGCATGGTCTCATCTTACCTGGTGCATCATGGGTATTGTGCCACAGCCACAGCTTTTGCCCGAATGACTGAAACCCCGATTCAGGAAGAGCAAGCGTCCATAAAGAACAGACAAAGTAAGGTTGATTCTCCTCTCCCCTCTCCCTCCCTCCCTCACCTGTCCCTAACTCTGCTGTCTGGCTCATGCCAGTCTGAGTAACCTGCCAGGATTCCATTCAGCTCTGGTCCTCACCACCAGGAGACCAGCCCAGAGCCCCAACCCAGCCCCAGGCCTTGGTTCTGTCCCTCCTTCAAGACAGCGCTGCCCAGATGGACAGTCTGGCAGTATGGGAATGTCACAGTGCCACCTCCCTAATGCACACACTGCTGGCCTGGCTGGCTGGACCTCACTCCCCCCGTGCTTCCTTCCCCCTGAATCCTGACTTCTACTCAGCATCTTGTTCATGGTCTTCTGACAAGAGTATGTTTGCATCATGGACCAATGTCCTTCCTTTCACACCATTTACTCACCGTTAGTAGTTCTGCCTTCTCCTGGCCATAGAGAGGGCTGAAGGAATCAGTGTGACATCTGATGCTCAGTGGCTGCTGTGTTAGCACCCGTCTCTGTTCCCCACCTCTGGTCCTGCCCTTTGCAGACAACCAAAGGCAGGAGCCAGCGGAAGCTTTCCTGGTGTTCATACTGGCCTATGTACTAGGGGCTCGTTTATGGAAAGAGGGTATTATACAAAGAGGAACAGGGCCCAGGAAAGAGATAGGAAGAGAAGAGAAGAGTGAGGGAGAATGGGTATATGTGGACATGTGTGTCTGTGTGTACCTGCTTGCGTCTCTCTGAGCCTGCCATCTCTGTATGTGCATGTGTCTGTGTCTCCCAGAGAAGCTACCCCCATCCAGACAGACGGAAAGGGATCCCAGACTTGGGATCTATGAATGAGAGTCTCAGACCCAGAAGTCGCTCCAGCAAGACGCACCAGGCCCCAGGGCAAGAGCAAGATGCTGATGCCTGAGAGGTGTCAACGTCAGAGATGCCAGTGTGAGGAGGAGGATCTCTCCCGGCAGGGAGCACGCTGCAGCCCCTGAAGACTGCCAAGACATGGGCTCTGGCCCAGAAACCAGTGCCCTCCATTGCCCCTCCCCTGTGAGGCCTGAAAAGAGAACTCTGTCTGAAGAGGAGCGCCTAGGGTCACCAAACTGCTTGGGTGCCAGTCACCCCATCACGTTCCAACAGCCAGTGCCCCTCCCCCAACCCAGACTCTGGTGACCTGTACTTCATAGGGACAAGCCTCCAAACTCACCCTTTGTTGCTGGGCTGAGAGTCCCTGCTCTGTTTTTCCCTCTTATTCTTTGAGGTCTCCCAACGCTTGGCAAAAACCAGGGTCTATTGTGGGGCTGGATGGCCAGGTTCTTTCTTCAGCCACTTCTATGAGCATCTCAACCGGCCTAACGCTCTGAGCCAGCCCACCTGACCGCCGCTGGCCTGTGCTCAGGGCTGGCAGTTGCCGGCTGCAGCTGTGAGGACCGTTCGTAGCCCCCCTCTCACTGCCGTGCTCTTGCTCTCTGCAGAGATCCAGAAGTTGGTACTGGAGGGCCGTGTGGGTGAGGCCATTGAGACCACACAGCGCTTCTACCCAGGGCTGCTAGAGCACAACCCCAACCTGCTCTTCATGCTCAAGTAAGTTTTGGGGCCTACCAGCTCCCCCATAGCCCAGCCCCTCTCAGATGGTGGTGGGAACATGCAACCCGGACCAAGCCCAGAGCAGTGCCGCTCCGCTCCCTCTGCAGGTGCCGACAGTTTGTGGAGATGGTGAATGGGACTGACAGTGAGGTCCGCAGCTTGAGCTCCCGAAGCCCCAAGTCCCAGGACAGCTACCCTGGCTCCCCCAGCCTCAGCCCCCGACACGGCCCCAGTAGTTCCCACATGCACAACACAGGTCAGCCACTCTCCAGAGGGCTCCGGGAAATACTGGTGTGGAGAAGAAAATCCACTTACAATACCCTTCCCTGGGCTGGGCTCAGGGTTCACTGCTGAACTTGGGAGAAGGGAGATGGGACCCCTATAGTCATTCCCAGGGCCCTGCTTGATGGCAAGTTGCCCCTCCTCTTCTGAATGTTCCCTGGCTTACAGGTGCAGATAGTCCCAGCTGCAGCAATGGCATCGCGTCCTCCAAGAGCAAACAGAACCACAGTAAATACCCCGCGCCCAGCTCCTCCTCGTCCTCCTCCGCATCCTCCTCTTCCTCCTCGTCCCCATCCTCCGTCAATTATTCCGAGTCCAACTCAACAGATTCCACCAAGTCCCAGCCCCACAGCAGCACCAGTAACCAAGAGACCAGGTGCCTGTCTTAGCTTCTTCCTCCTGCCTTCTGCTCTGTGCCTCCTCGGCCCACTGCAGCCTGTCTTTTGAGTGCTGCCCCCTGCACTTCCTCCTCCACCTCCATCCCACTCTGTACCTGGAGTAGTAGCTGCTGACCCGCCAGGCACTGGCTCCGGCTTTTGGCCCTACCATGATTCAACTGCCACTTTACTCTGTCCTCTCTTTATCCAGAGGCACCCGCACTGCCAGGCTGAGAATGTGGTCTCCCAGAGAGACCAGGCCTTAGAACCCCCAATGTGTACTGAAGGCACTTATACTGGGGTTGGCTTGTGGTCACCCAGGTTGGGCAGGCGGGGATTTTAGGCTACAGATACAAGTTGCCTTAGAGTTCGGGTCCTGAAGAGATGCCTGTTGGGCCTCATAGGCTCCTGTCATTTGGGGGTGGGGGGCTGATTAGGAGTGTGCCAACTCGGAGGAGAGTCAGCAAGGGGAGGGCCACAGAGGCAGCATTGGGACAAGAGTGAGAATCAGATAACAGACCTCTGGCTGGTATCTCAGGAGGGGCCAAGTGTTGGAGCCTGGGAAGCCAGAGCTGTCCTTTGGTGCTCCTAGGAGCCCTCAGTTAACCCACAGAACAGCTATAGGAGGCCCAAACAAGCTGCTGCAACCACATCACCTTGGCCAACTCCCACCTCAACCCTTCTCCACAGCGACAGTGAGATGGAGATGGAGGCGGAGCATTACCCCAATGGCGTGCTGGAGAGCATGTCCACGCGCATCGTCAATGGTGCCTACAAGCATGAGGACCTGCAGACCGATGAGTCCAGCATGGGTGAGGGCTGTGCTCCAGCATGGTGTTCCATGGGCGGCAGCACTCAGTCCAGATGCCCCTTCCCCCTGGGAGGGGGTTGGGAAGGGCAGGCTTTGGCAGCTTGAGAGGCTCTAGCTAGTCCTGGTTCACTGCCTCCTTAAAGGCCAGTCATTAATGGATGCTTGTGGTGGGAAGGCCCTGGCCTATTGCCAAGACCAGGGCCCCTGCGTTTGGGGCTAGAGGGAGTTGGTGAGCGTGGGCACTGTTATGAGCCCCCCTGCATCTGTAGGGTAGGGAGAGGGAAAGCTTTGGAGCTGACTCCCAGAGCATGTGCTAGGTGGACTAAGCACCTCAGCTACGATGGTCCACCTGCTCCTCCCAGCCCTCACTTGCCTCTGGCAGAAGCTGTACCCCTCACCCCAAGGTCCTTCTTGCCATGTTCTCTTTGGTGTCGTCCCTCAAGTCCTCCCTTTCTCTCCTCACTCCTCCTGATGTGTTCTCTGCTGGACTCTGGGTGCAGATGATGGGCATCCTCGGCGGCAGCTCTGTGGGGGCAACCAGGCTGCCACAGAAAGGATAATCCTGTTTGGCCGCGAGTTGCAGGCACTGAGTGAGCAGCTGGGCAGGGAGTATGGCAAGAATTTGGCCCACACGGAGATGCTGCAGGTACAGAACAAGTCAGGCCCTCATCCAGAGAGGGCCCCATTCGGTAATGGAGGAATGGTGACTCTGGGAGGGTCCTCGGGACAGCAGCACCAGGACAGAGTGGGCTCCAGTCAAGTCTGCAACGGGAAATGGGACATCCAGGGTGTAGCCCACCCTCTCTAGGCTCTAGGGAGGCCACAGCCCTCCCTGACCCAACAATGGGGTGTGTTGTACCCTCACTGAGGGTCACAGAGGTGTGTGTATAGTGTGTGCCACAGTCTTCTCAAGAGTGCCCTGTCCCTTAGGATGCTTTTAGCCTGTTGGCATACTCAGATCCCTGGAGCTGCCCAGTTGGCCAGCAGCTTGACCCCATCCAGAGGGAGCCTGTGTGCGCTGCCCTCAACAGTGCTATTTTAGGTAAGTGGATCTAATAAAAATAGAAGCTTGCCCATGAGTATGTGGGTGGCCCCCTCCCTCTTCTCCCTAGGAATTGCTGATGTTTTTCCAAATCAGGGCATTGAGCTCTACCCAGGAGCTCTCTGGTGGCCCACAGGACTCTTGGGCTGACATGGCTGAACCTAAATCCTTACATCCCTCTGCCTGACTGAGTAGATTGTGATGGGCCCAGGTCAGCCCATTGCTCTGAAGAGAGCAAAGGTCCTCTGGTTTCTGGCATGGCTGTTGGGACACACACAGACACGTGAACACTCTGTTTCAAGAGATTTTGTTCAAACTCCACCCCACACCCCCCCACCCCCACATACACCCTTCTATTCCCAAGGAAATTTTGATCTGGGCCCAAGCCCTGGGCAGGGCAGTGACCAGGCCTTGTCTTTCTTCCACAGAGTCTCAAAACCTGCCAAAGCAGCCCCCTCTGATGCTCGCCCTGGGCCAGGCATCTGAATGTCTACGGCTTATGGCCCGAGCGGGCCTGGGATCTTGCTCCTTTGCCAGAGTCGACGACTACTTGCACTAGCTGACCATGCTGGCTGGCCCCACTTGGCCCTCTCTTGGCCCCAGGGCTGGAGCCCAGCCCTCCATAGGCATCTGGCGCAGGGACCTGAAAGCCATGGGCAGAGTCCACTCTTGCCTGGCCTCCTCACCTTCTTTTCCTTTCTTTTCCACCCTTTTTTCCCACCTTTAGTCTCTCTCCCCCCACACCCACCTCCACATGCAGCGGCCTATGACACAGTATTGGCTAGTTACTCTCTTGTAGCGCCTACTTTGAAATGGGGGTTTTGTTTTGAGAGGGGTTGGAGTTTTTTAAACTTTATTTTTTTCCTCCTGACTGAGCCACCAGTATTTATCTCTGGAGAGTTTGTGCTGAGCTGGTTTCTGCTAATTTAGTGATGGAGCCTATCCAAGTTGGTGATAGCTTATTATTTTCATAAGTAAAAAAATGAGATTATATATATATATATAAATATATATATATTAAAAAAGACACAGTATTTATCGTAGTGTTAGTGGCCCAGCACCTCTTGGGTGAGGCTGTCCAGACACCATATGTTTTTATTTGAGTCCAACTCATTAAAAAAGAATCATCTCTGTAACCTCAGCCAAGTGATTTATTTAGGCTTCCCTTTGTTGAGCTACAGGCCCAGCTGCAGCTTAAGGAAGCGCATTAGGCTTGTGTGGGGGGACGGGGGCACGGACAGAGGCACTTAGTGAGCAGGTCAGGCTAAGCTGGTCTGCAGAATCTAAGAGGTGTGGGTCCCCAGGCCCCTGAGAATCAGACTGAGCAGAGTGCCAGGGGTCCAGAGAAGAGAAGAGTTGACACAGGGCCTCACAGCAAAGCAAGGGAGTAGAGGGTTCTCGACCAGCACACCATCTACCATTTTACCCTGCCTTTCACTGCCTTCCTTGCACCTCTCTTCCCTTTTCAACATCCTTCCTTCACTTGTTAAGGTGGCCAAATAAGTCATTTACTCTAAATTGATTGCCTGGAAACTACCTGCCTTCGACCTGAGAGCTGCTGTGTGTCAGACTACGGGGAAGAAGTCTCCATTCCCAGGACAGAGACCCTTGAGTACAGGGCCTGCTTCCTGCCTGGATCTTCACTGGCTCTGCACAGCTCTGATGGAATCCATGCTTTCTGTTGGGAAGCCAGGACCTTGTTGAGGCAGATTCTTGGGCTGCTGGTCGCTGGAGTGGATAGAAGCTTTGACCCTCTAGGCCAGGCTTCACTGCAGCTGTGCCAGGCAGCTCCCTGCAGTTTGGCCCCAGCCACTCTCAGAAAGACTGTTATGAGTATTTGCTGGCCAGAGGAAGGGACCTCACGGGCTTTACAAATGTCCCACCAGCCCCATCAGATGGATCCTTACAGCTGATAGGGGCAAAAACAGTCCTGGTACTGTCATCAGGAAATCGGGAAAGGAAGGGCTACAATGGCTTCCAGGATGTGGGTGGGCCATCTGCTGCGAGGACTGACAGCCCAGGGGAGAAGAAAGGGAGGAGGTCTACCCAGAGGAGCACCAGGAGGGACTGGGATTTCTCCACCTGCTTCAGAGTGGGCGGGAGCACACAAGCAGGCTGTGCAAAGGAACGAGGTCCAAAGTTGAGTTTCCAGTCCCTGCCTCGATCTGGCCTGGGCGAGCTGCTGCTCTCTGTCGGTGGACACAGGAATGGTTGGGATGGCCTGAAATACCCAGTGTCACTCAGGCCTTGCTGAGCCCACAGTTGGGACAACAAGAGAAACGATTGAGTTGGACCAGTTGCTGGTGGTGGGTGAGGACCCTGGCCCTATGCTGTCTTAGAGTTCTGCCTTGGGATGTGATCCTGTAGGCTGCTGTTTTTTCTTGGTCCCACCAAGGCAGCTGGCGGCCCACAGACCATGGCCCGTCAGGGAGTTGTCGTGTCTGTAAAGGAAACTCATCCTGTGCAGGCCTAGGGATGCCTAACTCCCAAACCCAGAGGTTGGAAATATCAGTCTGTTAAAATGGCCAGAGCCAAGAAGGTTTGGGAATTAAAACCAGAGGCTTTTGCAGCTGGGATGGGGTACAGAGAACATCTGATCCACTGATCCTCTCCTTTTACAGATAAGGAAACAGGCCCAGGAGGTTAAGTGAGTTGGCCAAAGTCACACAGCAGATTTGTGCCAGAGTGGGGACTAATCTCATCCTCTGGGTTGGGCACCACTGTTAAGTCCTAAAGCTGAATGGCGGGTGAGGGGTTAGGCTCAGCAGTGTTAGGGAGGCTCCAGCAGTGTCTGAGCAGCTGGTACTTCCAGGGGTGTGTCAGGGATGGGGATAGGTGCCTGGGCTTGGGCTGTGGAGCATCTGAGAGAGGGCCCAGGAGGGTCCGGGACAGCTGTGTGCTGCTTGGGGTTGGGTGTCCGCCTGGCTTGCACTCAGTACCCATGGCCATCTCCCCATTTTCTGTGCCTTATCTCACTGTTTCAGCTGAGTCCAAGTTGTTTACTCTGTTCCTCTCCAGAGGGGCTCTCTGTCCCAGTTGGACAGCTTACCATTGGGACATAAGCCTTTGCCCCACAAGCCGTGGAGAGGACCAAAACCAAGCTGCTTGAGCCCACTGTCTTGCTGATAGTCCAGGCCTGCCTGCCTGCCAGCCAGAGGAGCCCCTTATGCACACCCCGTCCTACCAGCCTGCTTCCGGGAGCCGAGAGTGGGGGAGGCAGCTGGGAGGAGCCCTGGTGAAGAACCGGACTTGACCCAAAGGGTCAGGAGGAAGACTTAGCCCTGTTGGGTTGTCCAGCCCTGAGAAAACAGCCTTCCTTCCTTGCCTTTTCTCCTCATGCCACCAAATGATTGCTCCTTCCAGAGTGGATGAAAACTGGCACCCACACAAAGAAAACCAGACCCCTGATCCTCACCCACATGGATCTGTGGCTAGGCGCGGGCCTTCAAAAAGGGGTCAGTAAGATAGAGAAGTGGGGATTGCCTGGCCACCCAGCGCCTTCCTACCCCATAAGCAAGCACAAAGAAGATGAGGCAGAGAACTGTCCGAGCTGAAAGTTCCTATGGTTGCTCACAACTCAGGTATGCATGCTGCGTGGCGGCTGGGCAGCAGAGCCCTGCTTGACCACCAGTCCTGTGCACCCGGACCTGTGGCCAGATTGTGGATTCTGGCTGCCTGAGGCGCTGCCTTTCTGTGTAGGGTTTTCCTCCATTAGTAACTACAGCTGACACAGACGTCCTCCACATTGTGCACACTGGTTCTGCCTTTGTCCTCGCAAGTTGATAGTTGGCATTAGCATGAAACTTGTGGGTGTGGGAGGGTTTAGAGAGAATTCTAACACAAAACATCCTATTAAATTGTACTTGAGAGATGAAAAAACTCCTGTTGTATTTTGACAGAATTATTTTTATTAAAATACACATCCATGAGCAGTCACGAGTGTCTGGTCTCTTTTTGGGTCTTACTGAGGCTGGCACCCCTTGTGTGGCATACCGTGTCCTAAGGAGGGTTTGGCCTCTTCTCAGCCCACCTCTCAAGTGCGTAGGCCCCTGGTGCCTCAAGGACTCTAGACATTGGGTATTTTCAAGACCCCAAAGAGGATAGGTACTTGATTCTCTCCCCCAAAATAGCTTTCATCTGAGACAAAGAAAAAGCAAATTCAACTTCAAAAAATTGGGCCACAGGACGTCCTACCCTCAAAATAAGATTTTAATGCATTTCAAATACGTTCACCACAAACACTAGACAGTAAAAAAAAAAAAAAAAGCTCTTCTGATGAGGGGTATTGAGGTTAGCCTCCTGTCAATCAGAATGCTTATGCTCTAAATCCTAGTTCGGTCTATTAGGTAACTGGAAAATTAACTCTCACATCAGTTTCCCCATCCTTAAAATGTGGTCATTTCTTCTATCCCATGGTAGTAGAAGATTCTAACATGGATAGTGCACGCTTGGCACATAGGGATGCAGTACAGGTAACCGACTACCCTGCCTCCATGAGGATGTTCCTTAGTGTGACTGGCCTGCTCATGCCTCATTCTGCCTTCTCTGTTCCCAAAGTATCAGGGTTTGATGCAAAGGAGAGAGAGAGTAGCTTAGGCTGGTGTCCACCTGGAGGTGGGACTGGAAACATATTGGGGCAAAGAAATCAGCTATGAGGCTACTGCAGTAGGCCAGACACAAGAGGACAGATTTGAGAAATATTTAGGAGATGTTAGCACAACAGGATGAGTGACTGGATGTAAGAGAGATGGGAGAAGCAAGAGACAAGATAAATGTAGGCTTTTGGTTGGAATGAAGGGATGGATGCCCCAAGATAGTATAGGGAATAGGTAGTGACTAACAGTCACTGGAGTGGGGGAGGTTTGCTGGAGAGCAAGTGGATCCACATCTGAGAGATTTCCTGGAACTGGAAAAGGGTTCTGTGTTCCAGTAAATAAGGAAATCGGTCATGGGTGGTCACAGTAAACCTCACCATATAATAAAAGCTCTAAAAATCCTGTGTTAAGTTTACAGTACTATAGATGCTTCACGTGGGCATTTTACAGGACTGTTACTCTGCAGAACTCAGGAAAAAGCTAGTGTAGAGAGGAGTGAAATACAAATAAGCACAAATGTCTCGATTCCATAAGTAAAGCTATAGTGGATTAATTTCCCTCGAAACTAGTGGTTCTCAACCTGGACCAGTTTTGCCGCCAAGGGGACATTAGGCAATGTCTGGAGATATTTTTGGTAGTCACAGCTGGGGTTGGGTGTTACTGGTATCTAGTGAGTGGTGGTCAGGGACACGGCTAAGTATCCTACAAGATACAGACAGCCACCACAACAAGGAATTATCAGGCCCAACATGTCAACAGTGCTGCTGAGAAAACCTGCTGTAGAGTGAAAGTCTGAACAATGACTAAGACAAACATCAAACATAAGCATGCTTTGATTCTGCTTTCTGTGTACCTGGCTTCAGAATCCAGGGGAAGGAATAAAATCCCATGAGAAAAGGAGGTTTTGAGGTTACAACTTTTAATCACTCTGGAAGCCTTCCATGCTCACACAGCTGGTGACAGCGGTGGGAAGTCCTGTCTCCTGCCAAAGCCGGGATAGCCCTGCTGGTCAGCTGGTCAGCTGGTCTCAGCTCAGTGGAAACAACTGCCTCAGTTCAACTGACACGTCCTGTCATTACAGGCTGCACTGGAAAGAGGTCCAACTGAGCCGGGTTCAGACTCCCCAGGAGAGTCAGACGAGCAGGGGTGGGGGCTTCCCATGCAGAAATAACCCCTAATCCCACATTTCCAACACAGCCTGTTTGACACAGGTTTACAGGTTTCACTGTCCTAGCGGGTTTGATGAATCAAGAGGAGTCTTATTACAAACAGGTATTTATTTGGTGTGGGGGCGAGGGGGCGGGGCACGCATATGCTCCAGTAAAGAGATCAGGGGGACTGAGGTCGCAGTCCCAAGAATACTAATATCTAAGAAGTAACCAAAGAACATCGAGGAAGTCGTGAAGTTCGAGGGAACTGCCGTTCTGCAAAGATAGGTCGTATCCAATAGCAGACCTTCCTTCATTCCTGAACAACCCAAAACCACCAGTTTCCAGAACCTTCTTGCTCTCGATGCGGGCGGCGAACCAGAAAGAATCCCAGGCTGGAAAATATATCCCTCAACCCCCCCACCGCCGGAAATGAGTGACCAAGGGCTCCAGCCAAGCTA